GGCGGAGCCACATTGGGTCAAGTGGGTGCAGTTGCACCCACTGAAATGGGATATGTAAGTATATATGTATTACTTTAATTATTATTTGGCCTAGCTGACTTGGTTCAAGACATGCATAGTAGTCACACCAAACCTGAGTTCAAACCCCCCCTCCTCCTGGCATGTTAAATTTTTAATAAACTTATTCCTTGTAATTTTTTATTTACACTTTGACCCCACTCTCCCCAAAACCTGGCCCCGCCACTGTCATGTGCTGTATAAATTTAACACGACATATTCATGGAAGGGGTCACATAACTTCTTAGACATGAAAACATACTAGGACCCTTGCAACTCATTTGATGTCTTTAACTCACTGTCATCACCTCTTGTTATGTAGAATTTTTGACGTAATTTATTAATATATGACTTATTTTTATAGCTGTACTAATTTATTAATAAAATTATTTCAAAAGTCATAACATTTTACCTCGTAATACTCAATTTGTAGCCGAAATTGGGACGAACAGAGTATGCTTTAGAAGATGGTTGGGATCAATTTAATGATGCTGGTCATACTCGCTTACATATTCTTCCTTCACTACTTGCACTTTCTTCAAAAATTAACTAAAAACAACATTTCTCGCTATTTACTCAGCGTTTCAATGCTCTATTTTATTATACGGACGGAAGTATTAGATTCCATACAGTAAGACTTTCCACTCCCAGTCAAGTCAATGACTACCAGTTTTTTATCTTTATATGCTAATCTGGCTGTATATTGTATTAGTACATTTTAAGACTTCCAAGAAGGGCAGAGAACTATTCTTATCAACGCATACATATTAGTTTAATTCCGTATGGAAATGATTTGTTCAACATGATGGCCATGGGTTCAGAACTGGCTGATAATTGATTATCCATTGTTGATAATCGATTATCACGCATTGCAGCTTCTGTTCCCAAAGTTCTGCAGACTGTTATAGTCGATTGTCGATTGTCTTGTTGATTTGTCCAGGAAACCCAAGTTCAGAGAGGCCTGACTTATGATCCCGAAGACTTATATTGAAAGCTAAGTCTCGGTTTTTAATCCATATTTCAATTGTTGATTCTTACCTTGAAAGCACTTTGATTTTGGATCTTTCTAAAAGTTCAGCCGCCCTTGATAATGATTATCACTTGTTGATAATCAATTATCAAAGTTCTGCAGCCTTTGATAATCGATTATCACCAAGTGAGAATCGACTATCAAATGTTCCGCAGCCTCTGATAATCGATTGTCACTTTGTGATAATCGACTATCAGAGTTCAGCAGCACCTGATAGTAGATTATCAGAATTTGACAGTCTACTATCACAGTACTCGGGTTCTACTTTGGTCTGTCGAATTACGTTCAGCCTTTTGAAAATTTTAATGAACATGTAAGATTCACAAATATATCAAAATATTGAGTTCCTCTAAATTCCAAATGGATTTCAAGATGATTTCTTTTTCAACGAGTTTCATATAGTATAGCTTATAGCAAGAAAACTACGATCATACGGTTTCACCGAAGGTTATGCCAAGTAGTAGAGCATATAAAGCAACAAATACACATTCGTTCATACATGTACAACACATATATTTGGGCATGGATTTAAGTGTTCATTTAATCGTCTAAATGTGGTCTAGGTGTTTTCCAACTTGTTCGTTCACATGTCACATTTATTCACATACACGTATAAAGTGACGCCATTACGATATTCATTGGTATTTCCTCAAGCCTAACCATATTCTTCATAATCTAACCATTCTATCACTTTTATTTCTCAATCCTTATTGTTTACATTTGAGTCAAACATCCATTTAGTCTTGTATGCTCATTCAATTTCATAATGGTTTCTAACCCTTGTTATTTTGTACGGAACTTTAATAGATCAAGAACATAACATGGTATGAATCTATATACAAATAATCATATAATCAACAAACGTATTCGCATATAAATATACTGAAGATTCCTTCGTTATATCTAGGGTGTACATACCTCCGATACGACACAACGTTAGAAGGGACCGAATGAATCAACGTCAACGAACAGTCGTCAAACCGTTGACCTTCCGACTTCCAAACAGATTCTTGAGTTCCGTTTCTTCTCGATAACATGTTATACGGGTTGTGAAGAGTCGGCACGCATTCCACGAATAGCGGATTGGATGAGACAAAACGAGAACAGAGGCGGAAGTTGCAAACCTCGCGTTTTCCGTCGCCGCTAGACCAGTTTTGGTAAAACGGCCGTATCGACTTCGTTACTCGTCCGATTGACGAACCGTTTGCGGCTATGGTTCACCAACTCGCAGGGCTACAACTTTGGTCAAGCAACCACGACCAAACAGCGAATTTAAGATGGTCGAAATTCTGCCCTAAAGATTGTTTAAGTCGTCTCGTGTGATTTAAACATAGCTTTAGTTCATAGAGTAGGCGCTCTAGTAACATAGATGAGAACTACGACGTTCTAATTATGAGGCTGTTACAAAGATAGAGGCTACGTCTAAAATATCCTTAGTCGAATATTATGACAATACAGACATCATAATATATCAAGACTAATACGTATGAGATGAGATAGCTGCGTCTCATAGGCAATAGATAAAGTGTTATCCGAATCTATACGTAGGCAACCATATTTGATATGTTGCTGGATTGACCCGCTATGAGAATAATGTATGGGTTTGAGTTAAAGTGTTAATATTATTCTCATGCGACCATTAGTATAACTATCCTTTGACTTGAAGTCATTACATTCTTTGGTAAGTTGAGTTGTATACTTTGAGGCATGATTTATGCTATCTGAAATATTGGTGGATGTACAGTGATGTTTTGGGTATGCAATGAAACTTAAGCGAAGATGTGAATGACGTAGATAGAATTTATCCCTTCTTTGATGAAGTATAATATCTTAGGGCCCACTGATTGATGTGACTTGGGAAGTGCATGGTCATGCCCAAATAAATATTTTATTTGAATCCCACAAGTCAATCCAAGAATCAGTAAACCATCGATTTAACTTTAACAAGGTGACACACCCCATACCTTGAGTTAAATCAAGATATTAGTGATAAAGGGATAAGGGTTATACACATAGGATGTGTCGTTGAAGAAATTGTTCCAAGAGCTTCAATCTATAATTTGGGGGTGATAATGTGTTGCTAGATACCGCTTATCACTTGTAGTATTTAATCGATACTATGGCCAATTTTATAGATGCCTAGAATAGGGTCACACACATAGAACATATGAAAGTGTAGAATATTTAAGTGGAGTAAAGTTTCACTTTATTTATATGTTGTGTATATTATATTGTGTGACAATATGATTAGATACACAAACACATATATAAATAAATATTTATATTTGGACATTTTAATTATGTGATAATATATGTGAATAATAAATTGTTTATTATTTTAGTATTATTATTAAGGCACAAAATATATATATATTTATATATATATTTAATATTTGGACATTTTAATTATATGATAATTAAGTTTTTCAAATATTATTTAAGGAACAAAATATAACATAATTATTATATATATATATATATGTATGTATGTATGTATGTATGTATGTATGTATGTATGTATGTATGTATGTATATTGTGTTCGGAATATATATATATATATATATATATATATATATATATATATATATATATATATATATATATATATATATATATATAAAATAAATGTTATATTATTTATTTTGTGTTAATTATATGATAATTAAAGTTGACAAAATAAATTGGAAGCTTCCTTAAAGTGCCATTAGGAATTTCCTAAGTAGAATAGGAATGAGATTTGATTTCCTTCCTAAACTCTAAAAGGTACATTCCTATTAGGAATAGGAATGGGGATTATGCTCCTTATAAATAGGAGATCATGCCACCCCTTTTACACTACTTGGAATTTTCGGCCCTAGCATTTTTTTAAGAGACAAAATATTGTTTTGTTCTCTTAATACTCTACACCAAGTATTTTATATTTTAGAAATATTCTAGAGAAAAATTACTAGCATAATTTTCTCTAGAACACTCTTCGTTGTTCCTGTGTCTCAACTGGAGGTCATATACTTTTGTGGCTAGCTCTTGGATCAATCCATCAACCAACACATATCGTTGCTTGTTCGCCAAGAAAGGTATCTTTCTAAACAATAACTTATAATAATCATAAGAGTTCCTGGGTGGATCTACGTTTGGACGTCAAAATTTTTATATTTCCGCTGTTCTATCCAAGCGTAGAACCCAACAGTGGTATCAGAGCCGACTTATGAGAATTATAAGTTTTGTAGATCTAATTGCCGTTAGGGTTTTTGATAATTGGTAAAATAAAATATATGTGTATATATTTTAGAAAATTATCCAAAATTCAAGAAAGTGCCAAATTATGATTCTGGACTTTATAAAATTTGAAAATATGATTTTTGAATTAAATTTTGGATTTATTTTTATTTTCGGGTTAATCGGTTAAAAACTGTTTTAACCAATTAAAATATTTCTTCCTCTAGGTTTCCATTGAGGAATGTGCTTTTGACATCCATTTGATAGACTTTGAAGTCTTTGTGAGCAGCAATGGCTAGAAACAGCCTTATAGCTTCAAGTCTAGCAACTGGAGTGAAGGTTTCATCAAAATCTATACCTTCTTCTTGACAATAACCTTTCGCAACCAACCGGGCTTTGTTTCTAACAACAACACCGTTTTCATCCATCTTGTTCCGGAAGACCCACTTTGTCCCAATGACATGTTGATGAGTAGGTCTGGGAACAAGTTTCCAGACATCATTTCTGGAAAATTGGTTGAGTTCTTCTTGCATTGAATTGATCCAATCAGAATCAGCTAGAGCTTCTTCAATATTCTTAGGTTCCACTTGTGATATGAAACAAGCAAGCATAGCTTCTAGATTCTGTTGGGCACTCCTTGTGCGAACGCTAGATTGAATATCTCCAATGACTTGTTGGGGAGGATGATCCCTTAACCAACGAATATTGTGTTGATTAGGGTTGAGTGGTTGATCTAGTTCAGCTTCTGGTTGAAGAACAGAGTTTGTTGGTGATTCCGGATGGATTGGCACTGGGTCTCCTTTTCCGGATTTGTCGCCGTTTGAGTGATCCGGAATAATGGAAGGCTGGCCATGATTTCCGATAGGCTCAGCACCGTCTGAATCTGGATTTCTTTGTGAAGTATTCAGTGGTAGACTTCCGAATGGAATAAACCTAGTAGGTTTCATCCTATCTCCTTCGTTGGCTTCTTTATTCTTTTCTGAGAGATCCAGAACTTCATGATCATGCTTTGATGGTTTGTCACCCACATGTTTTTCATCAAAGATAACATGTATTCAGTCTTCAGTGATCATGGTTCTTTTGTTGAAGACTCTGAACGCCTTGCTCACCATAGAATATCCAAGGAAGATGGCCTCATCTGATTTCTCATCAAAAGTGTTCAAATGATTCTTCCCGTTGTTTAACACAAAACACTTGCTCCCAAAAATATGGAAATATGATATATTGGTCTTTCTCCCGTTCCACATTTCATAGGGAGTTTTGTTGTGCCTTTTATAAATCATACTACTATTTTGAGTATAGCAAGCTGTGTTAACAGCTTCAGCATAGAACCTCTTTGGCAAAGAAGCTTCGGCTAGCATGGTTCTTACTGCTTCCTTCAAGGTTCTGTTTCTTCTTTCAACTACACCATTCTATTGATGCGTTCTTGCTACAGATGTCTGATGAAGAATTTCGTTTTCTTCACAGTAGTGAATGATGATTTCATTCAGGAATTCTGTGCCTTTGTCAAATCTGATCTTCTAGATGGTCTGACTTGCTTGGTTTTGAATCAGCTTCATGCAGTTTGTGAGCTTCCCTTGAGTTTCCTTCTTTCTGTTGAGGAAAATTGTCCACGTGTATCTTGAGTAATCATCAACTACCACTAGGACATATTTCTTTCCACTTAGACTTATTGGAGTAACGGGGCCAAATAAGTCCATGTGAACAAGACTTAATATCCTTGTAGTTGAGGGTGTCGGTTTTGCCTTGAAAGTGGACTTGACTTGCTTTCCTTTCTGGCAAGCATCACAAATGCTTTCCTTCCTGAATACAGCTTTGGGAAGGCCTTCTACTAACCCTTCTTTGGACAGCTTGTTGAGAGTTTTGAAGTTGAGATAACTCAACCTCTTATGCCAAAGCCATAGAAGGTTAGTGTCACCTTTGCTGATTAGGCAAGCTTCCTTGACATCGTCCCACATTACTTCATAGATGTTTTTGATTCTCTTTCCAGTGAGAATGACTTCATTTGTGGAGATGTTTTTGAGAGATGCCATGTCCTTGCAGAATTCCAAGGAGTAACCTTTATCACAAAACTGACTTATGCTCAGAAGGTTATAATTGAGACCTTCCACATAAGATACAGCTTGGAAGGTTAGTCCTTTGTACACCAGATTTCCTAGCCCTTTAGTGAGGCCAAAGTCATTGCTTCCTCCAAAAGTAACTCTTGGACCATCATAGGGAATTAGATTGCTCAAGAGGCTCGCATCACCCGTCATGTGTCTTGAACAGCCACTGTCTAAGTACCAGACACCTGGGTACTTAGCGGCTTCCTGCATTAGGAGGAGGAAGATTTTGGTACCCAATTCAGTTTGGGTCGGAATAGTTAATGGTGTGTGTCCCTACATCTAGTTTGAAGTTGCAGGGAATTTTCCTTGCAGCCCTAAACGTGTTGGGATTGTAATCATAAAATTTCCTACGAACAGGTGGTGTATTTTCCTGTTTCCTCCTAGCAAACCTAGGTTGATAAGACCTATAGTTTTGTCTAGGTTGTGCATAGTGTGGCCTGTGTCGGTTGTAAGCATACTTAGGTGGAACAAATAGTTTCTGGGGTGGAGGTTGACTATATCTTGGCATAGTTCTCCACTCAGAATTTCTCGGAAAACTTCTATCTACCCCATAATGAGTATAGCCTCGCGTATAGTGGGGGTTAGATGGTTTTCTTCTGAGATTATTTCCTCTTTGAGGTCTGTCCAGCTTCCTATAGTTCTTAGGAGAGACTACCTTTTTGGGAACTTCTGTGAGTTTCTCCTTTTCCTTTCCTTTCTGCTTATTGGGTTTGGCAGTAGGTTTAGGAGGAATGAAAGTTGTTCTCCCTTTTCTCTTGGAACTGGAGGGGTCAAACCCAAGTCCTTCACGACCCTTTTGTTTAGTCGCTTCAAGAAGCTTATCCACTGCTTCTTTGGACTTAAGTATCCCAAGCTCCTTGTTGAGGGATTTCACCTTTTCAGAGAGACTTATTTCCAGTCTTGAGTTGAGTGATCTCATCTAGTTGACTTTTCCGACCTTCAGTCAACTTGAGATTCTCTTCACTCAGTAGCTTGTTCTCCTCTGTTAAGGATGAGTGTTTGAGATTTATTTCCTCAAAATCTTTCCATCTTTTTGAACTTGTCAAAAAGACTTTCAGAAGTTGGTACGCTTTCATAAGAAGATGAACATGAGGTTTGAGAAGTTACCTCTTGTTCGGCATCATATTTGGCCATAAGACAGAGTGTCATAGTCCACCGATCCTCATGGTTGGACTTCTCAGCTCTGTGCTCCATGCAGACGAGGGCTTCTTCATCTGAGCTTGAGTTGGATGACTCGTCACTTTCAGCTGCAACCATTGCTTTCTTCTTCTTTTCGTTCCTTTCTCTTTCTCCGTACTTCTCCACCTTTGGGTACGGGCATGCTGACTTCCAATGACCAGGTTTCCTGCAGTTATAACATAAATAAGATTCAGGAGGGGAGTCACTTACCTGTGGCTTTCCCTTGGATGGTCTTCTGACCGAGTCAGCTTTCTTGAAGAACTTCTTGAACTTCCGGAATTGTTTGACCATCATGGCAAATTCCTCATCGTAGTTCTCCATTCTTGAGCTTGACGGCTGGCTGGAGGAAGGTGTGTCACAGTTCCTTGGGCATGTCCCTTCACTCGGTGGGACTCTGGGAGTTGTCATCAATGCCGTGGGGAAGGGAGTGACTTGTTTTCCTTCTTTTTCATCAGCTCATGCTCATAGGTTCTGAGCTCATCAAAGAGACCTTGGACAGTGTAGTTCTCCAGGTTTCTTCCTTCTTCCATGGCTGTGGCTTTGGTGTACCACTCAGATGGAAGAGATCTCAGTAACCTTACATTCTTTTCTTTGGGTGAAAGAATGTGGTTAAGTGATGCAAGATCATTTAAGATTTTGTGGAATCTTTCATCCAGCATATCAAATGATTCTCGTAGAAGCATTTTGAAGCTTTTGAACTTTTCAAGCAGGATTTCTATCTTCTGCTTTCTCAGGTCTTCCGATCCCTCACACAGCTTCCCAATACCTTTCCAAATCTCCATGGCAGTCTTGAGATGCTTGATCTTGGAGAAGGTGATGTGATCAAGTGTCTTGAAGATGGCTGCTTTGGCGACGTTGTCCAGATTGTGCTTCTTGCAATCTCTATCATCCCATTTCTCCTTGGGCTTTGGAATGTACTGGACAACATCAGGATTGGCTGGATTCCTCTCAGGGTGGGTGTGCTTCCATCATGATCTTCCAATCATCATAACCTAGAAGAGAAAACTTGGGCAAACCGTGATCCATATTTTTCACCATTATGATCGCTTCTCGTTAATCTAAATGTAGATAGTGAGAAGTGTGCTCCGATACCAATTGGTGGTCCCAAAGTGGTGAGATACAAAGTCTAGAGGGGTGAATAGACTTTGCTACAATTTTAAAACTTTTTTGTTTCTTTTGAAAACGTGAAAATAGTGTAAATCTAGAGTTCTTGGGAACTTTAGATTGTGTACGGAATTTGGTGGGTAGTATGAGCAGCAATCAATATGGATGAGTTAGTTTTCAAAGTTAATATAGTTGCAAGTAAGAGTAAAGATAAAAGAGAGAGACACGCAAACTTTAACGAGGTTCGAAGGTGGGGTAATCCTTCTACGTCCTCAAAATCCACTATGTAGTTGGTTGTTGAATAATGAACCAACAGTTACACTTGTGTGAATTTCTGCACGATATATCTTCACAAGACCAATGTTGCTACTGCACTCGTGCTGGCTTTGTTGTTCCTTCGAAGGTCACGCTTCTTCAACAACTGCAAGATCCGAACAATAGGACCTGCAAGATCAACTTGTGAGAAAGTTGATCTACCCCCTTTTAATCAAGAAGTTTGATCAAAAGTTATATCCTTCAACGTGGTGTGGTACTTGAGGCAAGGAAACCTTCAAGTGTTTACACTATAGCTCTTTGGAAGGAGGAGAAGTTTGCTTCTGGATAAGGAGTTTTAGAAATCTCTCTTTATCAAGCTTTTTGGACTAACTTTGAATGAGATAGCTTTGTTGTTAGAGATTGCTTCATTGTGTTTTTCTATCTCGTTATTATTTTTTTCTCCAGTCTTCCAAGGTTGCTATTTATAGCTTGATTGGATAATCTATCCGTTGAATCAAAATAGACTATCCGTTGCATTTGCTGGCTTCAATTTTCAATGAAGATTGTGATTGAGGATTCCTCATTGGAATGGGTGTTTGGTCATACCCAATTGTTTGAGGAGGAATTCCTTTTTCCACAGAATCCATCTTCTAGCTGTTGTTCAAGAGTTCTGGACTGTAGCACTTTACTCAGTTTGTCTTCTAGTGTTTGTTTAGGAATTTTGGACGAGCTCTTTAATTTGAGGGGTCCAGACTTTGTCTTCAAGTGATTTGTTCTTGAATCAGCTTAATTATCTTCAAATCTAGCCGTTGAAAATCAAGTGATTGATTTTTCCTTACCAACGTGTAGAATTTCTTCATTCAAGACTTAGAATTTTTTCTAAGTCTTTTCTCACTTGTCCGCTTCTGAGAGTTCCGATCTTTTCTTGAGGTATCCGGCTCTTTTGCTGACAAATCCGGAAGAGTCATTCACAGACTTCCAGGTGAGAAAGAGATCCGCGCTAGTCTTCCGATCTGAATGACTTAGCCTTCAGCGGATTGTAGCGAGACATCCGGTTATCATGTAGTGTTCCAGATTAGAGGATCTTCATCTGCTTTGAGTGATCGTTACTTGTCTCTGACATTTCCGATCAAGATATCCAATTTCCATATCACAGAATTTGATCAAGTCTTCAAGCATCAAACCACCTAAAGAAATATCACAACTTTATTGGAAATCTCAAGAACTCGGTTTTAACAATATTTCTAAAAAGAAAAATTACATTGAATATTGGGGGAGGCCTAAAGTCCTTATTACAATCTAAATACATCATCATCAAAATCTATAATATTTTCCCAACAGGTAGCAACTCTTTAACCTCTTGCAAAATCATCCTTGTAGGAATTGTTGTTGACCTTTGTAACACTTCAAATGGACCATCGTCTTGGAACTGTTGCCTTGACTTGCATTTTTCAAACCAATGCTCTCTTTGAATATGGACCCAAACTAGGTCTCTTGGTTGAAATAGGTTCGACCCTTTTGATTCATTCTTCTTCTCAATCTTTTCACGAAATGGAAACTGCAAAAACTCAACAAATTTGGTACAAGGTACTGTTGGTAAAGATAGCCTTAGAGGTGAGGCTCTCACATCTCGATTCATGACTCCACTTTGAAAAGTCTTATTCTCATCAACTTGCTCTTCAAGGATAGTTATGCTATAGCATAAGAACTCATCTTTGGTGGCAGCAACACATTTTTTCTTTGGTCTTTTTTTCATCTAAACTTAGATGAGTCCGTTGTTCTTTTCCTTGGAGAGGCATGGGAGAAGGTAGAGATAAACATGTGTGTTCCCTTTTTCTCATTGAATACACATCCACATTTTCAATAAAATCAGGTGGCCATGGCTTTTCAATATAGAACAAAGAAAAACTACGTAATTCCACTCGTAGTTCTTTCCCATTGTTTAGCCATTCAATGGAGCATGATTCCACGAGAGGTTTGATCCCAAAATCATTTTGATCTGCCCAACTACACAATGGTCTATTAACGACCACAAGTTCTTCTTCTTCTTGGCTTTGAGGCTTCACTTCTTTTTGTGCTTCCTTGAGTCCCAAAGATTCTGATTTTTCTTCTACTTCAACCAAGGACTTCAGATTCTTATTTGGACATTTAATAGCATAATGACCAGTCTTTTGACAATGGAAGCATTGGGGATTCTTAGGAATACTTGGGCTAGGTTTTGGTGGGGGGTTTTGAACCGTGGAAGTGGAGGTAGTACCGAGGGTGTTTTGGGCAGTTTGTGGAAAAGCTATAGACATGGTTTTAGGAGAGGTTTGAGGAAGGGGTATTCAAAGGGTTTTGGGTTAGTTTGAGCAGTAGCTAGGGAAGAAAAGGAGATTATTTTTGAGGAGTTTTGGATCAGGGGTTGGGAAAGGGTTTTGGGGTTAACTTGGGCAGTAGACAAGGAAGAAAAAGAGAAGGTTTGAGAGGAGTTTTGGGGCAGGGGTATTGAAATGGTTTTGGGGCTAGTTTGGACTGTAGCCAAGGAAAAAAAAGAGATGCTTTTTGAGGAGTTTTGGGTAATGGGTGTTGAGAAGGTGTTGGGATCAATTCGGGATGTAGCTAGTGAAGGTAAAGGCATGGTTTTAGATGGTTTTTGAAGTGTATGTGTAGGGGTAGGAATGAGGATGGTAGTGGTAGCTTGTAAGGGGTTTAATGATGGGGTATTTGGGAGGGTGAATTGGGATGGCTTTTGAAAACATTGTTGTGAAGAAAGTGGAATGGTTTTAGAAAAGGTTTTGGGTGTGAAGGTGAAAGAGTTTTTAGGTATATAGCAGATATAATCTCTTGGCAAAAACTTCTTTATTAAGAGTTTTCGCATATTTTGCCAAGTCCTCACTTTGTCTTTGCCTTCAAACTTCCGTTTAGTGGCAACGGTATTCCACCAATAAGAGGTAGTTTTCTTGAACCTTGATACAACTAGCATAACTCTCTTGTCTTCGGGAACGCCATTGGATTCAAGGACATCTTCAATCTTCTATAGCCAGCGTAAAAAATCATCTAGATCATTATTTACATCTAAAAAAAGATGTCCATTAATTTGGCCATAGTGAGTTCTTTGAACCAAATACTTTCCAAATTCTGATGTTGTCTTAGGAAACTCATATCTCAACAACCAACTATAGGAATAAGGCCATTTCAAATCGAGGAGTTAGATATTGAAGTCCTTTACAACTTATCAAAAATTCAAAGGAATTGGAAAAGCAATGTTATGTCGTTGTAGGCCAAAGTAGCAAGGTCGCCAGGCTGTTTTCAAAATTGCATCCTTAACTTCAGATGGACGTATCTCACAAATCGTATCTCAGAATTGAGTGAAATCAGCGGCCAAACGTAGAGAAAATGATAAAATTCCAAACTGGAAAGTTCACGTTGAAATCAATTTTATACCTTCGTTTGTGATCACTTCTTTGGGGCTGAAATTTTCAGGAGCAATTTTGAGCAGCTTTGTTTTTGTGCGACGTGGGTGAAGCTGGTCCTCCGGGTAATCGTCGAGACTAGAGAAAGTCGTCAAAGTTGAGCTTTGATACCAAACGTTATACCCGTAACCCGGGGTATAATCAAGTTGTTCTTTTTGAAGATCGAATTGTGAAATAATGAATGGGGAATGGGTTGGACGAAATATGGAGTATGTGAAAGGAGTTCTTTTTGGGTTTTTGATATTATGAAGAAGACTGGCAAACCAGGGATGAAGGATTGTTTTAGAAAGGATGGGATAAATACCAAATCAAGAAATACTAAAGGATAAACTCACCTTTAGATTAACTTGGGGTTAAGCTCTAGTATTTAATCAAGATATTACACACTCAATCAAATAACTAGAACCTAAAACTCACACTCAAGAGAACCACTCTTACGATATAGAATTAGGAATTTGGCTAAAATAGTATCACACTATTTTAAATTGCTACTCAAAGAGTAAACAAAGGTATTTTCATTAAAACATATGTTGTTGATTACAATGAACTAAGGGAGGAATTTATACACAAGAAAAGGAAGAAAAACATTAAAGGAAACTTCCTTCCTTTCACCCTAAATAATCAGGAACAATGACCTAATTGTTTTCACCTTAAGTGATTGCATTCATGACCAGGATAAAGAATCTGTTTTGGCTGCATTTGGGAGGGAGTTTCGGCCATTTGTGAGTTGGGTCAAGAAGGGGATACAATGTGGCTAGTGTGATGATATTCCTTGGCTTTTCGTGGGGGTGTATTTCGTTCTTTATTGGGGGAAATCAGGGAAGGAACATCACATGGATGGTTGTGGAATAAGTCAACAAATTCACCTTTTTCACTTATTTGGGCAGATTTTTGGCCTTATTGAGGGTGGGGATCTTGGGATTTATTTGATATGAAAAGGAGGGATTCTTGGTTGAAGAATGATGGGGAATTTCGTCCATATTGAAGGGAAGTGAAGGGAAGTCATTTGTGTCTCAAAATGACAAACCATTCACTATTCAATCAAAGACTCCTTTTTCCTGATTTTGGCCTTTTGTGTGGGATTTGTTTTGTCACTATTCTTGATTGGTTTGTGCCTGATTTTTTGGTGAAAATAAAATGGGATTTTCGTCTCTTGTTGTAGGAAGGAAAGGGGAAAGGCATTATTTTGGTAAAAGGTCTTTAAAAGAAACAAAGGTTTTTGCCTTTATTTACTTCTCATTTTCGGCCAGGGGCTTTCAAATTAGTGGGGAAGACTTTATTTGAATAAAAGGGGAAGTATAAAGTGTTTTTGGATGTTTTGGATTGAAATGGGAGTAAACCATAGAAGCCTCGGGTCAAAACAAAGATCGTTTTGGACTTTCAAGTTTAAGGACTTTTGAATTAAACTAAAATGGATCATAATGCTTGAATATAAGTCCTTTGGTTTCCATGAGGGTGTGGGTCGTGAGAGAGGGCATGTTAGGGTCAGGCTTGAGTATATCATCCTCTCCGTCTTCAAAAACGTTTGCCCTCAAACTTGGAATGTATTCAAAACCCTCATATGGGCTAAGGTCCCTTTTGAAAGGTAACCATGCAAGGATAGGTAGTGGAATATAAAATTTTTAACATCCTAACATGATTATCTTGCCCAGAATCACGTACTAAAACTTATAGTAGTAAGAAATTTGTACCTTTCTCCGTAAGCGGTAAAAACGAAGAAGTCGTAGGAAGAGCGTTGAAAGTGCAAACGTAATCGTTCAAGCGTCCGGTCTTTAACTTTGACACACGAACAACGCCGGAGTCTACCACAATCTTTATGCTAGTAAAGATTATAGTAGTATAAAATATAAAGATTAAAATTGGGATAATAATAATCTTGTATATTTCTATAGAAAATATTTCTAATATTATTTAGAAAATATTATAGATATTTTCTATACACAAAATGATATTAATGGAACACAAAAGAATTTTCCTCTCTCTAGAAAAATTATGGCCGAATGACACACTAACAAAATGATAATCTTCACCCTCTTTTTATTTCAAAGTGCCGTGTAACCTTTAAAAAAGAAAACAAAAGATTCAAAGTGATTAATCAAACTATTTTGTCATTAGCTAAATGACAAAAATTAACTAGCCACTTAATTAGCAATCAAGGAAAGTTTGATTCTCAAAATCCTTAAGTTAAGACGTTTGCACCGTAAAAAAATTCCAGAATATTTCAAATGACCAAAATGCCCTTTTGCAAAATTATATTAAAAAGGGCAATTAAAATTTTGAAACAATTTTGCGAAAATCATGAAAATTAAATTTCAACTTCCAGTAATTATTTTCAACATTTATAAACCTGGAAATAAAATTTCCAAAATTTATAAATCATTATTTCCAAAATATATTAGTTAAATCTCAATAAGTTATAAAAGGCCATTTAAATTATTTTCGAAAATATTAAATTATAAAATTTAATATTTTGAAAAAACATTCTTTTTTCTTACTGAGATATAACTTTACAAAATATATATTAGTCATTTATGTAATTAAAATACAAATATATAAATATATATAATACTTCGGTAATAATACCGAGTACATATATAAATATATATTTATTTAATTACTAACTAATATTATTTTGTACAATATATTTGTCAAAAACCTTATTTAACATAGAAATAATATTTCTAAGTTTAATAAAGTTCTTTTTGAATTTTCCCATATTTATTTTCGGTTTTCACCTAAATAAATACAATAAATTCAAAATAAGAAATAATACATTCAAAAATTACAATATAGTTTTATCAATCATAAAATGATGTTTTATGTCCAAATAAAATTATATCTACTATTTCTACAATATATGTATTTATATATATATTACCGGTAGAAATAAAATAAATAAATTTAAAATTCATTCTCAATTATTTATTTAAGTCCAATACTTTTTCCAAGACTAAATAAAAATCATTTTACAAATTTTTTGAATTTTAATCATTACCAAGTTAAAATTTTGACTTTTAAAATTTTAAAAGTCAAACGTAAAACTATAGTTTTGTACGTTGGCTCTGATACCACTGAAAGGTAACCATGCAAGGATAGGCAGCGGAATATAAAATTTTTAACATCCTAACATGATTATCTTGCCCAGAATCACGTACTAAAACTTATAGTAGTAAGAAATTTGTACCTTTCTCCGTAAGCGGTAAAAACGAAGAAGTCGTAGGAAGAGCGTTGAAAGTGCAAACGTAACCGTTCAAGTGTCCGGTCTCCAACTTTGACACACGAACAACGCCGGAGTCTACCACAACTTTATGCTAGTAAAGATTATAGTAGTATAAAATATAAAGATTAAAATTGGGATAATAATAATTTTGTATATTTCTATAGAAAATATTTCTAATAATATTTAGAAAATATTATAGATATTTTCTATACACAAAATGATATTAATGGAACACAAAAGAATTTTCCTCTCTCTAGAAAAATTATGGCCGAATGACACACTAAAAAAATGATAATCTTCACCCTCTTTTTATTTCAAAGTGCCGTGTAACCTTTTAAAAAGAAAACAAAAGATTCAAAGTGATTAATCAAACTATTTTGTCATTAGCTAAATGACAAAAATTAACTAGCCACTTAATTAGCAATCAAGGAAAGTTTGATTCTCAAAATCCTTATGATGGCCGAAAATTTTCTTTGTGATTGTGAGAAGGATTTTCAAAATTCTTCTCCACTAAAAAGTTCAAAGTGTATTTTATTTGACACCAAAAAATTAATATAAAATTAATTTTAAATCAAATAAAATACCAACATCATTTTTAAACAAGTATAAAAATATACTTTAAATAGTTTATGTCAAATTAATTATTTTCATAATTAAAATGACAAACCAAAATAAAATATTCAAAATATTTTATTTTACTATTTTAGAAATATACAAATTACTTGTTATCCCATTGTTTAATCTTACTCCTTTAAATTGTTCAAAGTGTGTGACCCGTATAGGCACTTATAAAGCTGGCCACAGTATTGGCTCTGCACCAATACTATAAGCAATAAGCGGTATCTAGCAACACATTATTGCCCCCAGATTATAAGTTAAGACGTTTGCACCGTCAAAACCTTTCCACGACTCAGACTCCGTGTAACTATATCCCTTTGTCTCAATGTCTAGACTTAATGCAAGGGATTAATAAAATNCCATTGTTTAATCCTACTCCTTAAATTGTCCAAAGTGTGTGACCCGTATAGGCACTTATAAAGCTGGCCACAGTATTGGCTCTGCACCAATACTATAAGCAATAAGCGGTATCTAGCAACACATTATTGCCCCCAGATTATAAGTTAAGACGTTTGCACCGTCAAAACCTTTCCACGACTCAGACTCCGTGTAACTATATCCCTTTGTCTCAATGTCTAGACTTAATGCAAGGGATTAATAAAATTCAGCTTGTATCCATCAAGTCATTCACTGATTTATCAAGTGTGACTGATAGGAACAGACGTCATAAAAGCATCTCAGCATGGCCATGCAATTTCCTCAATCATAACTTATCAGTGGGCCCCATAAGACATTAATCTCTTTTAAAAAGAGTAGTGACAAATCCTTTGTACGTAATCTATGTTTCTGAATACGCGCTGCGGCATACCCAAAACAAAGCCTGTATACCATCCTTATTTCATATGGCTTAGGACAATGCATCAAAGTATGCGGGTTCACATATGCAGAAAACATAATACTTCAAGTCGAAGGATAGTTACACACGTGGTCGCGCTAAAGATGCTTAGAGCATGAACTAAAAATTCAAGCAACATCTTTAGAATGGGTCAGTCCAGCATCGATAATAGAGATCTATTATAGACGGGTACACGCCTACGCTTGTGTGGCAGTAACTGGTACTCTGATTCAGTTTGTAGGTTGTGTGTGATCAGAGTGTACGTAATTGCTATAGGGTGAGAGCAAAATACTCGACTATGGACATTTAGATAAATATTTATTTCAAGATGTTAGTCTCATCAGCAGAATAACACTATCTGATGAACATCTTTGAATATAAATCTAGGAATATAATATTTGTTTACATTAGCATGAGATGTGTAAACATATTATAACTGCCTATACATAATAGAATAATGATAAACAGTTGGCCATCAGGGCACAACTCCAACACCTTTTGCGGAATGTAGCAGCAACTCTTTGACCTCTTGTAAGATCAACCTTGTTGGAATAGTTTTTGACCTTTGTAACACTTCAAATGGACCATCGTCTTGGAACTGTTGCCTTGACTTGCATTTTTCAAACCAACGCTCTCTTTGAATATGGACCCAAACTAGGTCTCCTGGTTGAAATTGGATTGACCCTTTTGATTCATTCTTCTTCCCAATCTTTTCACGAGCTTTATGATAAAACTCTAAAGTTTCTTTCAATCTCTTTTCACGAAATGGAACCTGCAAAAACTCAACAAATTTGGTACAAGATACTGTTGGTAAAGATAGCCTTAGAGGTGAGGCTCCCACATCTCGATTCATGACTCCACTTTGAAAAGTCTTCTTCTCATCAACTTTCTCTTGAAGGATAGTTATGCTATAGCATAAGAATTCGTCTTTGGTGGCAGCAACATATTTTTTCTCTACGTCACAATTGGTCTTTTTTTCATCTAAACTTAGATGAGTCCGTTGTTCTTTTCCTTGGAGAGGCATGGGAGAAGGTAGAGATAAACAAGTGTGTTCCCTTTTTCTCATTGAATACACATCCACATTTTCAACAAAATCAGGTGGCCATGGCTTTTCAATATAGAATAAAGAAAAACTACGTAATTCCACTCGTAGTTCTTTCCCATTGTTTAGCCATTCAATGGAGCATGATTCCAAGAGAGGTTTGATCCCAAAATCATTTTGATCAGCCCAACTACACAATGTTCTATTAATGACCACAAGTTCTTCTTCTTCTTGGCTTTGAGGCTTCACATCTTTTTGTGCTTCCTTGAGTCCCAAAGATTCTTATTTTTCTTCTTCTTCAACCAAGGACTTCAGATTCTTATTTGGACATTTAATAGCATAATGACCAATCTTTTGACAATGGAAGCATTGGGGATTCTTAGGAATACTTGGGCTAGGTTTTGGTGGGGGGTTTTGAACCGTGGAAGTGGAGGTAGTACCGAGGGTGTTTTGGGCAGTTTGTGGAAAAGCTATATACATGGTTTTAGGAGAGGTTTGAGGAACGGGTATTGAAAGGGTTTTGGGTTAGTTTGGGCAGTAAGCTAGGGAAGAAATGGAGATGATTTTTGAGGAGTTTTGGATCAGGGGTTTGGAAAGGGTTTTGGGGTTAACTTGGGCAATAGACAAGGAAGAAAAAGAGAAGGTTTGAGAGGAGTTTTGGGGCAAGGGTATTGAAATGGTTTTGGGGCTAGTTTGGACTGTAGCCAAGGAAAAAAAAGATGGTTTTTGAGGAGTTTTGGGTAATGGGTGTTGAGAAGGTGTTGGGATCAATTTGGGATGTAGCTAGTGAAGGTAAAGGGATGGTTTTAGATGGTTTTTGAAGTGTATGTGTAGGGGTAGGAATGAGGATGGCGGTGGCAGCTTGTAAGGAGTTTAATGATGGGGTTTTTGGGAGGGTGAATTGGGATGGCTTTTGAAAACATTGTTGGGAGGGTGAAAGAGTTTTTAGGTATCTAGCAGATATAATCTCTTGGAAAAAATTTCTTTATTAAGAGTTTGCGCATATTTTGCCAAGTCCTCACTTTGTCTTTGCCTTCAAACTTCCGTTTAGTGGCAACGATAGTCCACCAATAAGAGGTAGTTTTCTCGAACCTTGATACAACTAGCATAACTCTCTTGTCTTCAGGAACACTATTGGATTCAAGGACATCTTCTATCTTCTATAGCCAGCGTAAGAAATCATCAAGATCATCATATACATCTAACAAAAAGATGTCCATTAATTTGGCCATAGTGAGTTCTTTGAACCAAATACTTTCCAGATTCTGATGTTGTCTTAGGAAACTCATATCTCAACAACCAACTATTGGAATAAGGTGATTTCAAATCTAGGAGTTAGATATTGAAGTCCTTTACAACTTATCAAAAATTCAAAGGAATTGGAAAAGCAATGTTATGTCGTTGGAGGCCAAAGTAGCAAGGTTGCCATGCTGTTTTCAGAATTGCATCCTTAACTTCGGATGGACGTATCTCACAAACTGTAACTCAGAATTGAGTGAAATCAGCGGCCAAACCTAGATAAAAGGATAAACTTTCAAACTGGAAATTTCATGTTGAAATCAGTTTTGTACCTTCCTCTGTGATCACTGCTTTGGGGTTGAAATTTAAAGGAGCAATTTTTAGCAGTTTTGTTTTTGTGTAACGTGGGTGAAGCTGGTCCTCCGGGTAATCGTCGAGACATGAGAAAGCCGTCAAAGTTGAGCTTTGATACCAAATGTTATACCCGTAACCCGGGGTATACGAAGATGGAATTGTGAAATAATGAATGGGGAATGGGTTGGACGAAATATGGAGTATGTGAAAGGAGTTCTTTTTGGGTTTTTGATATTATGAAGAAGAGTGGCAAACCAGGGATGAAGGATTGTTTTAGAAAGGATGGGATAAATACCAAATCAAGAATAAGCGACACACACACTCCTATCTTAATTTGGAACCAAATTAATACTAAAGGATTAACTCACCTTTAGATTAACTTGGGGTTAAGCTCTAGTATTTAATCAAGATATTACACACTCAATCAAATAACTAGAACCTAAAACTCAGACTCAAGAGAACCACTCTTACACTATGTTTGGTTCAAGGAATTCAAAAGAGAAAAGAAAGAAAATGAAGTGGAAAACAAGTTTTCTTGTTTGGTTATAAAGGAAAAGTGGAAGGAAAAGAGAATGAGAAGGCAAAATGTACCAAATGGAGGGAAAACCAAATTCCTCCCATTTTTGTGAGGAAAATGAGAGAACACCATTTTCTTTTCTTTTCCTTCAAAATTCCTTGAACCAAACATAGTGTTAAGTTATAGAATTAGGAATTTGGTTAAAATAGTATCACATTGTTTTAAATTGCTACTCAAAGAGTAAACAAAAGGATTTTAATTAAAACATATGTTGTTGATTACAATGAACTAAGGGCCGAATTTATACACAAGAAAAGGAAGAAAAAAATTAAAGGAAACTTCTTACCTTTCACCCTAAATAATCAGGAACATGTTGGAGTTGGTGCCCTTATGGCCAACTGTTGTTGTAATATCTTAGATATTTTCTATGATGTAAAGGCAGATGCATTAAGTTTACAAACATCTCATGCTAATGTAAACTCTTAATTGCATTCCTAGAATTATATTATAAGCTGTTGAGACTGACATCTTGTCACTTAGTATAATTCTGAACGGTCTATAGTCGAAGCATTAACGAGAGTGGGATATCGTTAGTGCGCATGAGACTAGTGAGAGTTAGATGTTTGACCTAGTCTCTTGGTCAATGACGGAGTGTTTGCATCTACTCTCGGGAAGATATTATCGTTAATAATAGGATGCCAGACCTGACCCACCTTAAGGGCATTGCCTAGACTTTTAGTCTATGCTCTAAGTGTCCTTAATGCGACTATTGGTATAACGATCCTCAGACTTGAAATATTACGTTCTTCGAATGTGTGAACCCGCATGCTTTGATTCATTGTCCTAAGCCGTATGAAATAAGGATGGTACACAGGCTTTGTATTGGGCATGCCGCTGCACATATTCAAAGACGTAGATTATGTACAAAGAATTTTTCACTGCTACTCAAGCAGAATAATGTCTTGTAAGGGCCCACTAATAAGTATGACTGAGGAAATGCATGGCCATGCTGAGATGAGTTTAGACATCTGTTCTCATCACTCAGACTTGTTAATCAGTAAATAACCTAATGGCTACAAGTTGGATATTTTATATCCCTTGCACTAAGTTAAGACATTGGGACAAAAGGATCTACGTTATACAAAGTCTTAGTCGTAGAAAGGTTTTGATGGAGCAAACGTCTGAACTTATAATCTGGGGGTAATAATGTGTTGCTAGATACCGCTTATTACTTACAGTATTAGTGTAGAGTCAATACCGTGGCCAGTTTTATAAGTGCCTATATTGGTCACACACTTTGAACAATTTAAAGAGTAGGATTATAAGAAGGGATAATATTTAATTTGTATATTGTAAAATAGTAAAGTAAAATGTTTTATATAATATATATATGTGTATATATATTGTACACGATATATATATGTATATTTGTATACATTGTACGTGCCACCCACATATGTATATATATGTATACATATGTACGTACGTGTGTTTATATTATATATATATATATATATATATCTGTGTGTGTGTGTGATTGCTTTTACCGTGTACACACATAAGTATATATATACTACATTATATATTATATTGTGTACATTTTATTTTGAAGTGTCATTTTAATTTTGAAAATAATAATTTTGACAAAAACTATTTTAAAGTATATTTTATATACTTTTTTTAAAATGTTTTTGGTATTTTATTTTATATCATAAAAATTATTGATGTCATATAAAATACACTTTAAACATTTGAGAGGAGAAGAATTAAATTCCTCTCCCCTAAACTTTTCGTACTATGCATGATGGTTTGAGTGTGGGACTTTGTCTCCCACTATACATCACAATAAGTGTCCTTTTAGCATATTGCAAATGTAAAAGGTTTATGCTTTATTCCTTTTAATTGATAAAAAGGCATTTTTCTTTTCTTTTGGAAGAGGGGGGTTTTCGGCCAAGTAGAGAGAGAAAGAGGAAAAACATTTTGAGTTCTAAAGTTATTATTTTGGGTGTAGAAAATTGATATAATATTTTCTTTAAAATATTATTCGTATATTTTCTACTATTTAATATACAAGATTAATATTATCCCTCTTAAATCTTTATTTTTAATATACTATTATAATCTTTACTAGCATAAAGATTATAGTAGACTCAGGAGATTGTTCGTGTGTCAAAGTTGGAGGCCAAACGCTTGAACGGCTACATTTGCTCCTTCAACACCTTTTGCTCGACTTCTTGTTCATACCGCTTTACCGGACAAGGTATAAGTTTCTATCTCTAGCTATAGTTTTAGTACGTGTTCTTGGGCTAGTAATCACTTTTGGGAGATTAATTTTTGTATTTCCACTGCCCTCCCAACCGTGGTTACCTTTCAGTGGTATCGGAGCCAACGTACAAAACTATAATTTTTCCTAGAATTTTTCGGTTGAAAATTATTTTTAACTTTGTAATTATTTGTTAATCTCGAAAATTAGTAAAATGATTTGTTTTAGTCTTGGAATAAATATTGAACTTAAATAAATCATTAAAATAAATATTCACTATTTATTTGTGCCGAAAATATGTATTTTATACATATATTGGCAAATTTCGAATATATATTAAAATATATATTTAGAAATTGTTAATATAATTTTATTGAACATAAAATTTCATTTTATGGTTAGTAAAATTATATTGTAATTTTCGAAATTGTTTATTTCCAATTTTTGAGTTAATTGTATTTGTTTAGATTTAATTCCAATAAATCTTAAATAAATATTGGAAACTCAAAGATGAACTTTATAAAACTTGGAAATATTATTTCTAGGGGAAATAAAGTTGTTCATGAATATATTGGACCAAATAATATTAGTTAGTGATTAATTATTTATATATATATTGGTATATATATATTACCGAGTAATATATATAGATATATATATATATATATATATATATATATATATATATATATATATATATATATATATATATTAATTGAAAATGGATAATATCATTTTGGAAAATTATATCTCAGTAAAAAGTAATTTGATTTTTCTAAATATTAAATTTTATAATTTAATGATTTTTGAAAAATGATTTTAAATTATTTTTGCCATTATATAGATATAATTAATATATTTGGGAAATAAATATTTATAAATTCTGGAAATTTATTTTTCCGATTTATAAATGTGTAAAATAGTTACTGAAAGTTGGAAATTAATTTTCATGATTTTGGAAAATTTATTTCAAATTTAAAATGAATTTTGGAATAAACATTGCACTAGGGGCATTTTCGTAATTCTGTGTTTCCTGGAAATTTATTTTCCAGTTTTGCCCCTGCCCGAAAGTGTCTTAATATATTTGGGATGACTTGGTAAAATTTCATAATTTTTGGACCACTTTATGAATTTTTATGATTTTTAGAAAATATTACAAACGTAGTATTTTTCTAGAATTGTTTGGGGCGAGCGCGGTTCGCCCGGTGTATGTATATCTCTATTGCATGTGTGGATGTATGATATGCATGGTGGATGATTGTGTCTATAGTTTATTTGATTATAATACGGCCTGCGTGTCGTGCCTTATCTCTTAAACTCTCGTTGTAAATCTATTTCTCTCTCTTACCTCAACCGAAAATTCTTTTCTCACGTGGTGGTTAGAAGATAAAATATTTGAAGTCCGTTCGAGGGAATCTTAAGGAATGGAGATAGCCCGAAGTCCAAGAGCCTGGAAGTCAGTGGGAGCTATCGTTTTATTTTTCTTTAGGGGCCACAATCATTACACGTTTATTTACTGCGTATTTTGAATGCATGTGAATGTATGTTTAACGCTAGTAAATTGACACGTGCGCGGCATGTGTCGTAGGTGAGATCGTAAAACTTAAAATCCCTCGAAATATTAAGTCTGTATTGCCTTCTGGCGCCCGACACCTTTCCGGCTAATGTGCACTGTCACGTACTCAGCCCTTGCAGAGCATAGTACGGTGTGTGTTATGCTGGTCACGGGAATCACTAAAGTGGTCATTGTCAGACGTTGGGTTAGACTTAACTGAGTCTCGATCAAATGGATGGATGACTCAGAGGCGGTTTTTGTTGGGGTCACTATACTGACAAGTCGAATTACTTTACTCACTCATCCAGCCAGAAGTTGGGTCTCTATGACTTAATTGGGCTTTTCACTAACTAAAGTAGTTGTGCATGTGGTACGTGCCAAAGCCAATCACATGTACGATGAAATGGTGTTCTGGTCCGAAAGTAGTATTCTCGTTCGTCCAACACAAGACCAAGAACTGTGAGTGCGGCTCGACCGTTGGAACTATGTTCCTGCCTAAATAGTTAAATTCTAGGTACAAACCTCAGGTCAACTGGAATTTAATGATATATGGATCTTGGCCCATTAAGAGAATCTCTAGGAGAATCTCCGAATCAACATTGAGGGTTGTTGGTTTGTTAAAATAGTGGGAAATAATTAATTAAAAGGCCTAATTAATTATTCAACATGATAGATAACCTAGTTTGCAATTTCATTCTGGAGATGGCATCGAATAACACATACAGTCATTCCATCAACCTGCGCTATATCCTCGAGAGCCAAAAACTCTCCGGGGAAAACTTTCTTGACTGGGAGAAGAACCTCCGGATCGTTCTTGACCGTGAGAGGAAACTTTACATCCTCGAAACGGATCCTCCCAAGACCCCTAAGGCAAATGCTCGTGCATCCGAACTCACTTCTTTCAAGAAGTATGAGGACGACGCGCGAGATGTTAAGTGTATCATTATGGCAAGTATGACCGCAGAGCTCCAAAGGCTCCACGCGGACATGGAAGTGCGTCCTATGATACAACGCTTGAGAGACCTTTACCAGGGTCAACCCCAAAACTCAGATATTTACGTTATCGAAGTCAATATGTCTGATTTCACCTCTTGGGTGATGGATACCGGATGTGGTTCTCACATCTGTACTTCCAGCTTAAGGTCAGAAACGGAGCACTTGTCAATTCGCTGGTTGTAGGAACTTATGTTCTATCTCTCCCTAGTGGCTTGTTGTTGCATTTAAACAATTGCTTGTTTATACCTGCCATTAGAAGGAATATCATTTTTGTGTCCTGTCTTGACAAAGCAGGATTTTGTATTAACGTCAAAGACAAGTGCCTTTCGGTTTTTAGAAATGATATTTACTATGCAACTGCTAAGATGACCAATGGTCTTTATATCTTAGACTTAGACGCCACTATTTATAACGTAGATGTTAAGAGAAGCAAACCAAACAATTCGAATCTCACATACCTTTGGCATTATCGTTTGGGCCACATTAACGAGAAACGCATATCTAAGTTACGTCACTCTGGCGTACTTGATTCATTTGACCTCGAGTCTTATGATGTATGCCAATCTTGTTTACTTGGTAAAATGACAAAGGCTCCATTCACCGGTCACGGTGAAAGGGCGAGTGATGTATTAGGCCTCATACACTCTGATGTATGTGGCCCAATCAACACTGAAGCTAGAGGTGGTTTCTCATACTTCGTAACATTTACTGACGACCTCAGTCGGTATGGATATGTGTATCTCATGAAACACAAATCGGAATGCTTTGACAAGTTCAAAGAATTCGGAAACGAAGTAGAGAAACAATTAGGAAAAAGTATCAAGACCCTCCGCTCGGATCGAGGAGGTGAGTACTTAAGCCTGGAGTTCGACGACTATCTAAAAGAGCACGGGATCCTATCCCAGCTGACTCCTCCTGGTACACCCCAATTAAATGGAGTGTCTGAAAGGAGAAACCGAACACTGCTCGATATGGTTCGTAGTATGATGAGTCTGACAACATTACCAGAGTCTTTTTGGGGCAAAGCACTATTAACAGCAGCACACACACTCAATCACGTACCATCTAAAGCTGTTGAGAGCACACCATACGAACTATGGCGTGGGACAAAACCAAATTTGTCGTACTTAAGGATTTGGGGTTGTGATGTTTACGTTAGACGCCTCATGACGTCTGGTTAGCTTGATTCCAAATATGACAGGTGTAAATTTGTGGGATACCCCAAGGAAACGAAAGGGTATGAGTTCTATCATCCGGCCGATAACAAAATCTTTGTTGCTCGGAACGGAACCTTCCTTGAGAAGGAGTTTCTCTCTGCTATTTCTAGTGGGAGAAAGGTAGACCTCAAAGAAATTTGAGAACCACAAGAAGAGATTTCAAGAGTAGTAGAACACGAGCGTTAAGATTTAGTATCTCGACCGGCTCAAGTTTTACCACGTAGGTCAGACCGGATGCGTAATCCTCCGGTTAGATACGGCTTCCTTGTATCTGATGAAGGTGACGTCTTGCTGGTAGACCAAGGCAAACCTGAGACCTACCTCGAGGCAATCACGTGCCCCGAATCCGAACAATGGCTTAATGCCATGAAATCCGAAATGGAGTCTATGTACACAAACCAAGTTTGGACCTTGGTTAATGCGCCCGAAGGGATAAAACCCATAGGGGGCAAGTGGATTTTCAAAAAGAAAATAGACGTAGACGGGAAGGTTCATACCTTCAAAGCTAGATTGGTAGCAAAAGGTTATAGACAAATCCACGAAATTGACTATGACGAAACCTTTTCTCCAGTTGTGATGCTGAAGTCCATTCGGATAATGCTTGCGATTGCAGCGTTCTATGATTACGAGATTTGGCAGATGGACGTAAAGACGGCTTTCCTTAATGGGAACCTCAATGAGGATGTCTATATGACACAGCCTGACGGTTTTATAATTGCTGGTGAATCTGCCAAAGTCTGTAAGCTGCAACGGTCAATCTACGGATTGAAACAAGCTTCTCGGAGTTGGTATATACGCTTTGATGAAACCATCACTAGTTTTGGTTTCAAGAAGAATTCTGACGAATCTTGTGTTTACAAGAAGGTCAGTGGGAGTGCGATAGTATTCCTAATCCTATATGTCGATGACATATTGTTAATGGGTAACGATGTTCCTGCTCTCACATCTGTAAAGACTTGGTTGAGCAAGAACTTCGCCATGAAGGACTTGGGGAATGCTAGTTATGCCTGTAATGCCCCAAAAATAGGCCTATCAGAGTTAATTAATTTATAATTAATTAATTACTGAGAAGGACCCAAAAATAAGTAAATTCTAAAGTTTGTCAATAAATAATGAAAATTATATCATTATGTAGAGTTTGACTGTGTGACCCCAACGGTTCAATCGGATTTCAATTTGGAGAAACTTGGAACAAAAAGTGTACCCAACTGGGACCAAAATTAGTCCCAATCAGGGACTACACACCAAACGGCGCCCTGTTCAATTACGCCGATTCCAAATCGTCGCTCAATCACGGAAGCTGCAACCCATGTCTTCTTCCTTCCTCACTTGGCTATTTAAGGACAACCCAACTCCCTCATTTCATCACCAAAACAACTCATTCTTCCTTCTATATTGTTCCTTGCTGAGAGTAGAGTGCAGTGGTGCTGTCATCTTTGTGGGAGGTCGCCGGAGCAGTGAGATAGAGTCGCCGGAAGGTTCGCTGGAAAATCTTCAAAACCTCCCTTACGCTTCAAAGTAAGCCC